AGGAGACAACAAGCTGAATATTTTGTCATTGATATGACACTTCAAATTCTCCTCCTTATTCATCAGTCTAGCACTCAATTAAATTACATGCTATCAAAATTTTTTGTTGTGAGAAAAAATACATAAATAAAAAATATGATGTGAGTTTTAGATATTATCGGTATTTTACATTATTCTGCAATGTACGACTTTCTTTTTTTTTCTTTTTTGCATTCCTGCTTATTAAAAAAATGTCAAGCAGATTGATGAATGGAAAATACAAGATTGAAACGTTCTGTTGATTGAAACATCAATACAGATTGTTTGTCATTTACACTGGCTTTATTCAAATGGCATTGCTGGGCGGGAGGATTCCAGTGAAGAACTTTCTGAGGGAAAGTTGTCAAAACCAGTCAGCCTCTTGTAACAAGGTAGTAGTTGCATCAAAACAATGAATAACCCCCACACCTTCTATAAATTCAGTTAAGTTCTGATAAATTTAATTCATGTCTTTTCCTGCATCATTCCAGGCACTGATATTGCTCTTGCGTGTTCAGTCTGGCTTTCTGAGATAGCAGGACTCAAATGGATCTGCCAGAGCCACAGTCACTCCCTGTGCAAGGAGGGGAAGCTGCTTTAGACAATATCACACATGTCTAGGGTGGGAATATTTATAGTTTCACAAAAAAATATGAAAGCAGTGAATGTGGCTGTGGTGTCAGTGTGTGTCATGATTATAATTTCATATTGTTGAGTCTGTAGTAAAATGATAAATCTGTTACACTAATGTGCTGCAAATTGTGAATGTGATATACATAGTATGTAAAATCCATATTTGGGGTTAAGACCTATTGCCTCAGAACACTTTGTAATTCCTCTGCTTTATAACTGGTTTTTCTCACAATACTCCCTGTCAGGTATCTAAAACTGCTGCAGGACTGGTTTGTTTGGCTGATTTGATTGTTTAATCCACCTTCAAATATTTTTTATTTTGTCCTCCTCCAATTCAAACAAGAAGTTCTGCACTCTCCTCCAGCAACATCTGCAGTTTTTAGCTCCTTGATTCCAAGTCCTCAGCTGAGACTTTTCTCAGAGTCCTCTTTCCACACCTCCTCTTATGTGGATCTTGACACTGATGTTCTTCCTATTGTTGTCCCGACTCCCATCTGCATCCCAGTGCTGTTTGTTCTTAAACCTGTTTAACTTGTCTTTGTTTTGTGTGTGTAAGCAATCCTAGGATAATAATTCAATGCCTTCCAACATTGCATTAGCCTACCCCTGGATAAAATAACCAAAGATTGCTTCTCTGTCTCAGAGACTTCTCTGACCTCCTCTCATTTATTCATTCCTGTTCTCATTTTTAGGATGAGGAATTCATCTTTCTCAGTACCCTGAGAACAACATGAATTTTTATAATCTAAGTAATAGTCCTTTTGTGTTTTCTCTTTGTCTAGAGACAAACATTACAGTAGTTCAGAAATCTCCCAGTATTATTTTTCAAAGTCGATTTTGTAGTCCACTTTGAAACAAAAGCAGTTTTTTGTGTTTGTAGGGAGCTTTACCACAGACAAGTTTTTCTGGACTCAAATCGTACCTTGGTATAAAGGATGATATCTGCTCTTTGCAGTTAAAATGAAAGTAACATCAGCCAATGTCATCCATAGCCTACTATTTCTTCAAGCAACCATAACAACAGCTGAGACATTTTTGATGTTCAGGTCCTCCAAAGACAAACACTGTGCTGACTGAAAGTCTCACTGTATAGACTGTCACGATCCAGCTTGTAATACACAAACAGCTTCAATGATACATTAAACTTGCAGTCAAAATAGGATGGCTTTTATCAAGTGCTGTCACACTAAAAGAAGATTATTTGAGAAGTCAGTGTTCGGATCCAGATTTAAGACTTTTGCTTGAGCTAATCAAGTGATGGAGCCAGTTTCATTTTTGAAATTTAGGAATGGTGTTGAGTGATACAGACTGAGTCAGTGGGGAGCTATCAGCTTAAGAGACTAAATTTATTGATGATATGATATGTCTTCTGATATACAGCAGCCTGTTTGAAGAAAAATGCTGCTTATTCTGGTGTATTTAGTGAATCCTGCCATTCCTGTGCTACCATGTGGAAGAGCTGGTTTTGTGTTAAGACACGTCAAGTCATTCAAGGACCACACTGAGTAGTTTAAAAACTCATAAGCATTATCCAGTGAAAAATACTGAAGTCTCTTTATTTAAATCCACAGATAAATGCATATGCATACATTTTACAGTTACTTTAACCTAGAAGTTTATAGGAGCATAGGGTGGGAGGGAAAAGGAAATACAGTAGGAATTTTTTGGAGGGCAAATATGTTGTGAGAAAATGTAGGAGAATTAATAGTTGCATTTAAAAATAAGTGTGAAAATAAGTTGTGTTGAAGGATATGAATCTAAGGAGCATTAAAGCCATAATGAGAGACCATGAATCTCTAGAGATCCTTACAGAAGAGCTTCTGGAAAGTCTGGAGTGCCAAAGGATTACCCACAGGAAACTAAGGGCACTGTTTAAAGCTCAGTAGCTCCATCTGTTATTCCATTCAAATGTAAATTTTCCATAAAAGTGTTCTGGTTTTTGATTTATCCAGAAAGAGAAATTTCTGGTTAACTTATACGTGGCCAAATATGCCATCTGAAAGCCAGTTTTACCTCCCTATTTATTGAAAAATGCCATTGTCTGCAAAAATTTAGAAACTACTACTGGCTTGAGAGAGTTCTGCATATAGTAAGATCCTGTAACATCAGGCTACCCTTCGTTTACTTCTCTAGATTACAGGATATTCCTTCCATGTGGAGGTGTCAGCCCCTTGACAATAAGAAAATGATAAAGGTAAGGGAATCTAGGTCATTCATGTGCTTGAAACTAAAGAGAATGGGCTATCCAGCTAGCCATCATTAGCAAGCTGAAGCAAAGAAAACATAAATTTTTAAAATGCTGTGATCTCTAAGAGCTTAAAAGTGTTGTATCGTTTAAGCTTATAATGCAAAACCAGGGTATAACCAATGGATGTAGATGAATATAATTGATTTGGTGTCAGGTGCTCATCTGCAGCTGAGACTAAAAATTCAGTTAAAATAAAAAGAAGCTGGTAATTCTTCACACTTCTGAAAGGCTATCCAAAAAGACTGCTAAGGCACCTGGAAATTTTCACACGGAAAAAATATGTGCCAACATTATGAAGCACTGGTCTATTCATTGAGGACCTAAACATGAGGCCTAACACAGAAATAATCACAAATTTTAGTAGAGTAAATGAGAAAATATTGTGAAGAACTACAGAAAGACTAGATTGAAGTATGTGAATGAGCATCATTGGGGTTCCTGGAACTCCAAGTCAACCTACTGGGATGAACACAGAAATGAATCGTTCCCTTTTTTAAATTGAAAGTTAGCTGTAACACCTTAGGAGAAATATCTGGCTGTGGCTTATTGTATATATTGTGGACAGTTTATTAAACACTTTCACTATTAAACAAACTGAACAACAATGGACAGTTGGGCTGGAACAATCAAAATGCCTTCTCTGCTTTATCAGCCTGAACACTGTGTTTGTTTCTCATCCCCTCATCCAAATAAAACACAAACATAATTTGAGACACAGAGGAAAAAAAAGCGATTAAGGAGTCTTCTTTTGGATTTGAAAATTATTGGCACAGCTAGTGTTGAATGAAAAAGCGAAATGGCAGACTCACAGTGTCAGCCCTGGTTTCCCACAAGCCCCAAAGAGACAGGCATTCTCAGGGAAAGAAAAATTTGCCATCTTAAGATTTTTAACTTTAAGACTTTTTATCTCCTTCCCAGTCTGACTGACATACTTCTTCATTACATTAGTTTTCTGTGTATTAGAATGGCTCCCTTATATTCATTCTAAAAAACTTGTTGCTTTGCAGCCTCCTTGGCAGGGTGATTGGCCCTTTACTGTCAAACAGTTCTAGAGTGGTAGTTTATTCAAGGGCAACAGTGAAATGCTATTTAGTTCAGTACCCAGCTTAGAAGTTTATTTTCAGGTTTCAGTAGAATTTAGGAAATAAATGTAAGGTGTTATTCTACTTCAATTTGGAAATGGTACCACCCTGGAACCGTAGGACTGCTTAGGGTCTGAGCAAAAGGAAATACAGGTGAGATTTTTTTGGAGGGGGAAATATTTTGTGAGAGAATGTAGGAGAATTAATAGTTGCATTTAAAAATAAGTGTGAAAATAAGTTGTTGGATACAAATAAGTTGAAGGATATGAATCCAAGGAGCATAAAAGCTGTAATGAGATCCTCTGGACCTCTAGAGAACCTTACAGAAGATTTTCTGGAAAGCTTAGAGTGCCAAAGGATTACCCACAGGAAAGCAGGGGCACTGTTTTGAAGCTCAGTAGCTCCATTTGTTATTCCCTTGAAATGTAAATTTTAATTCATAAATGTTCACAGGAAAACTGAGCTAGTTGAGCAAAATCTTGATTTGAGTAGCATTCTGTATATTTTGTGTATTTACAAACAGATGAATTCAGAGTTTTGCTGGGTTATACAGACCCAATACACACACCCAATCTAGGAGAGATTCTTTTGTGACATCCTCTTCTATCTGTCTTCTTTGTCCTAAGTCAGTGAGATATTTTAATTTGAGAGGAAAATTGTGACACTGAGTTTGTAATTACTTGGACATGGGTTATGTATATCTGGGTTTTGCCTTAAATATATTCCAAAAATATTTGTTATTTGGAGAGAGCAGGCTGTTCTTTGATCCTTTTTAAGGGAGAATACACTGGAGTGAATGATGAACATTGAGCTAATCCGGCACCAAAAAAAAACCCAAAAAGATAGGAAATAAGTCTTAGAGAGTTAGAGAATTGTGTTATTGTGTTTGTGGTATAAATGGGGATTTTGAAAATACATAACATATTTAACTACTGTGAATAATCTGCACATAACAAATGAAATTATAAAAGCTCCATAATATGTTCATAATCTTAATGTGTTTCTTTGCTGTTTTGCAGGCAGACCAGTAATGATTGTAGTTGAATACATGGAGAATGGATCCCTTGACTCCTTTCTGCGGGTGAGGTGCCATTTTCTGATGACATTTGAATAAGACACCATTCTAGGTTAAGATTTAAATCATTTATCACAAATTAATTTCTACATAATGTTATTCATGGATTTTTAGTGAAGAATAGAAGCTTTCTCCCCAGGGTACATTTCTGAGGTACAGTGATATATTAGAGCATGGCTGGGAAAGAAGAAGATTTAAACTTAGGAATATAATTGATTTCTTCTACAAAAGTAGTCCCTGACTTTAGCAAAATGTATTTCAAAAAGTGTTTTTGTGAAAGAAAAGATAAATTGAAGGATAAATGCCTGGTCTTATGGAGGTGGTTCATTTTTCTCAATCACCTTCAAAAATACTCTGTTATGATTTTTTTGGTTGGTGCAGTGTAGAATACACTCAGTAATTGATTTATAATTATTCATGGTTACTTGCATTTAACAAATTGAATTAGAAGACAGTTCATGGGTTAAATGTCCTGGTATTAATTAGCCCCCAAAGGTCACTAATAAACATTAAAGAAGGGCTACAGAAAATGTGAGTAATATGTTGGCACAATTATATTTAATTTTTCCTAGAAAAATAGAAGGAAAGGATGACCTCCCCTTAAAGCCAAATTTATCCTAAAGTGGTCTCTTTTTTTAACAGAACCCCTGGAAATGCTCCAGAGACCCACTGTCATAAGACCTTGTGGGAATAATTTTAAAGTCAAGTATTTCAAACTTGTCATAAAAAGTAAACACCAGCCCTCACTTGCACACTGCCCTGCCATTGCCATCCTGCAGAATGGTAAATTTGGGGTTGTGGGCAAGCTCAAGGTAGGGGATCAGGGGCCTGTGGGTCTGTGAACTTGTTTGAAAGGGTCTTCCAAATGAGAGACCTTAAACAAGGAGCTGTGGAAACACCTGCATGAAAATCTAAGTGGTGGTGATAGAAGGATGATTTGGGAGCAGGAAGAAGGAATTGGTAAGAGAAAAGAGTGAATAAGCAGGAGGGGAAAACAGCCAACATTTTATGAAGACACACCAGAGAGAGGAAGTCATACAGACAGTACTTGTTGACAGCTGGTTGAGAAAAGGGGTAGCAACAAGAGAAGAGCATCTGGAACAGACGAAAATACACCAGAGCCATTATTTCTAGACTCTGGTTCTCCCTTCCTTTTTGTTTTTATTATTGCATAGCGTTTTTTCTCTTACATTTCTTGTCCTCTTCACTGGCTCTCCCAAACAGTTTTTTATTTTTCGTTATCAAGACACACAACAGATATCTGCTTTGATGTCAGAGACGTGCCAGCACCCCAGTTTTTGGTGAGAATTTGCTGATTTCTCAAAATCAAGTTATTTTTGTGGAGCATTTGATCTCATCCATGTCTTACAAAACAGGTAGTCTTTAAAAATCAGCCCCCTTGCCTTTCTGGCGCATCTCTCTATCCATCTGCAGCAGACAGACTGCCATTGATTTGAGTACCTGCAGCTTCCATGGTCTCTAATTTTTCAGCAGTGCCCCAGAAAGACTTGTCTGGGCCTGGAATATTGCCCTGTGCATTTGTGTGTGTGTGTGTGTGTGTGTGTGTGTGTGCAGAATTTCACAAAGTGAATTAAACCAAGTACTGAAATAATTCATGAAGGAGAATTACCTTTCTCTGAACTGCTCTGGTGTGATATCTATATCCCAGTTTTTCTTCACATGCATCCATTTATCAGAATAGTTACCACTTACTAGGATACTTTTATAGAAACTGAGATCAGCAAAATGATGATGTTACTGTGAAGCAATATTTCTCACATTGCATGGGATATACTTGGAAGCAAATCTGCTGGGGGGAAATGTGAGCTAATAATTTCTGCAGCTGTTTTCCATGTATATTATTTTACAGTTTCAATTCACAATTCAGATATGGGTTATTCTTCTAAAATGCTTTTAAAATGTACTTTAGATAGTATTCAACATCCCAAAGCACTGTAGATATGTCAGCATTTCTGTTAGTAATTAGCAGAGCAAATGGCTGCAAAGTAACCTATTTAAAAAGAAATCCAGCTGCTTCATTAATAACAGTTGTGTCCTGCAGATAAAAGTACACACTTTTAAAAGCTTTTGTGAAGATACAAAGAAACAGAAAGGCTTTATCTTTAGCAATCCTAATGAAAAGCATTCAGTGAATATAACAAATGTTGTGAGATTTGGAAGGGCTTATAAGATAGTCTATCTTTCTTATTATTTAAAGGATCACTTGTAACAGTGCAATGTTTTTACACAGAGGGCGAAAACAATCCATTTCTCACCAGAAGAAATGTTTCCCCACATACCACAACCTGCAAAAATTCACTGGCATATTCACTGTCTTCCTCCAAAAGCCTGCAAAAATGGATCAGTCTTACAAATTCAAAGCGAGATTCTGCAATGAACCATGTGAGGATATTCCACAAGAACTCCATTTGCCATCCCCCCCCTCACAGCCTTGGTGGGATATTTGCTTGCATGACAGTCCAGGTCGCACCATGAGTCACAAGCTCCAAGTAAAGCCTCCCTCCCCACCTTGATCCCTAACTGCTAAAACTTTAATAGCTTTTAATTCCCTCTTTTACAGATAGCAGTGCCTACTTTCTGCTATTAGTATGAATTTAACAGCAAGCTCATCTAAATTATGTCTTCCCCACCTCACAAAATATCTGTATGCTGGCTGCTAACTTTCAGCTTTTGAGTGAAAAAAAGTTGGCATGGATTTGCAATATGAAGATGCTTCAGATATATTCTTAGTGGAAAGGCATCAGCTACTTAGAACCAATTATGTAAGATGATGGCAATTAATTACAGTGGTTGTGCATCATCAGATATCCTAAATTGCTGAAGACACTTGACACTGAATTTTCCTCAGAAATACTGTCTTATTTTTACAATTGTATAAAACTCATTTCCAAAAGACAAAACTCAGTTTTCTTTTTTTTTCCCCCTAAAAATATAAGATTGAGGCTTGTGAGTTAATCATCCCACAAAAGTACACCTGAAATTTTCTATCAATAAAATGGTTCTTTGACCAGAAATAAGGTTCATGTGGGTTCATTTCTGGTAACACTCAGAGAAATTTCTCTGAAAAAGGATGTGGGCTTCCAGCTTAGTATTTCCTCAGGGGCTAGAACCTCACTCCTCTTTTAATATTACTCCAACAGCTGCCAGATAGAAGTAATCTGTGCTTGGAAAGAAAGTGGCTAATACTGGGAAATTGAGGAAATCCAGGTACAATTTCCTGTTACCAGTTTCACACACAGACTTTGGATGGGACGTATTTTATTCACCTGCCTGGGTCATAGAGATTTTAGCAATCACTTACTCTGCAAGCACATGAGGAGAGTAATAAAGACAAGGAGGGTTGAAAGGGCAGCTATCTGTATTGATAGAAAGATGTGGTTAGTAATTAGGATAGGAGTAGTCAGATATGTTTGCTCAGGGTTGTTGATGCAGACTATAGAAGATACAACAAGAAAGACAACCAAGAGAGATACATAATAACAAAAACCAAACAAACAAACAACAACCATAGAGAAAATTAGACATTAAAAACAAACAAACAAACAAACAAAACAGCACAAAAGCTTTATAGTGAGCATTTTGGCAGTTTGCCACTGCTGTTTGTTGGAGTTGTCTGTCCTCTGAGCATGGTCATGACGAGGTAAATCACATGGGGTTTGAACCACTGCTTGGTGATCTTGCAGTCTTCATACATGACACAAATGCAGTCTCTTTTTGTGGAAGAGAAATGGCGATGAGTGCTACGTTGGACTGAAACCTATGCAGCACTTCAGAGGGTGATCCAGTAACAGAACCCAGGTCCAAATCCCAGTTTCACTCCCTCTCTGTTTGTGCTGGACACCACAACATTTTCCTCAGCCTTGCCCTGTCAGATGATTGCAATAATTCCTACAAAAGCCCTTTCCCTGTGTTTTTTCTTTTCACCCTGACACATCATCCCCCACTTAGCCCACTCTCTAAATCTATGGCTCACAGATTTATAGAGTTCACTCTATTATGAGTTAAATATCATCTGCTGTTTTCACAACTCTATTTAAAGGGCCATTCTTGGCTAAAATAATTGGATTTAGCCACTCATGGACAAGAACAGGGTGATTAGGAGGCCAGGTGGCTTGTGTGCCTGAGAGGGCTACTGCTTGTTGGGTTCAGTTGCCAAGAATGACACTTGGAGAGCTTTATGTTGCCTCTGGTCTGCACTCACCCTCCTTGTGCATTACGAAGTGTGGGCACAGATTTAAACCACAGAAAAGGAACACATCTAGAAAGTGCCTTTGGGGGATGTTTGTGGCTGGCTACATAGCATCACGTGAAATGGACAAAAAAAAACCCCTATCACCAGGGTACTGAACTTCTTTCAGTATTTTTCTGCAGCTGAAGACCACCAGAAACTGTCAGTGCTTTGTTGCTGCTCAGTGTCCAAGCTGTGCTGACAATAGTCGTGCAGTGAGGTGAGAACCAGGGCCACAGCAATATTAATCAGTTGAGAACTCATGGTATTGTAGCATGTTCTGTGGCAGCCTGACATTAAAATAATCCATCAGGCCTATCCCCTGCACTGTACTTGCTCACCTTCTTCATAAGGAAGGGAATTCACTCTCCAGGGATCAGTGTGGGAAAGCAAGCTCCTCAGGTTCTGCAGCATTTTCGCTGAATAGACAGATGTTTAGGTTTGAAAGATGCTCCAATCTGGCCCAGTTTTGGGAATCTCAGAGCTGGAGGAGAAAGGTGTAATTTACCTGGTGTAATCACAGGGTTGTCCTGCGTTCTTCATTGTTACTATTTGCCACTGTAATGCTCCATTTCCCGCCTGAAAACTTATGACTGACACATTTCCATTCACTTCAGAGAACTAAAATACTTGCTAAAAAAATTTAGATTTATTTACAGGCATGCATAGTAGGTGAAAATCATGTATTTTGTTCTTTCAAAGAGTTTATAAGAAACATGTTTAGTTCCCCGAGAGCACTAACTGCAGCAGACTGTAC